GTTACGGTTGAACTTTTTCTTTCTTTCTTTCGAGAAAATGCAAAGGACTTGCATTTCTTTTCATTGAAAAGGGGGGAGTTTGGTTACAGGCGTCCTAAGGCAGTCAACATATGTTACAATCAATGTACATCCCAAGATTGGGGCAGCGCAATTCTAAGCCTGGTTGCCCCGGCCTTTACCCAAAGATAGGCCCGCTCCTTGATGGAATGAACTAGTATGTCAATGGAAGGCCTCACATTCTCGAAGACGGCTGAACTTTAAGAAGACTAATATTTTTGAAACACAAGGCTGCAATTCTATGGAGATATCTTTCTACTTTTTACATCATAATCATACGAACATAGTTGAAAGATGCATGGATATTATTTGCAATAGAAAGAAATAGTGTCTATGTATCGATGAATTAAGAGTACAGACATGACTGCTTAGATTGTGTACCTCTATCATATTGTCCATAACATGAGTAAACTTGATAGGCCCCAAAACTTGTAACTAGTACTCTCTCTATTTCTAAATATAAGTCTTTTTAGATATTTCAATACGGACTACATACGGATGTACATAGACGTATTTTAGAGTGTATATTCACTCATTTTGCTCTGTCTGTAGTCCATATTGGAATCTCTAAAAGGGCTTATATTTAGGAACGGAGGGAGTAGATGCTAATTAAGTGCCCATAATATGTAAGTCAGGCCACTCTGATCACAAAAATATTACAACTAGCTAAAACATAATGCAGTAGTAAATTATACGTGAAATAGTTATCTAGAATTGGTTACATGTTAGTTGAACAGAGATGTGTTAAACCAACATCAATCATTTATTAGGTGGACTGCCGATTCAGCAATTTGTGTCACAAAATAATCAATATCATCGTAAATACCTATGATGTCTCAATGTAAGCTCTGAATTAAGCTATCTTTAGAGTGGAAGTGACTTAACATGTGTTTCAGTTTGAGAGTTCTGTTGCTTCATGACAAGTTTAGGGCTGTGTCATTCAGTCACAAAATCACTCTTCTCTCAGTTTGATCACCTCCTTAGTGTTTGTGCCACGTGAAAATATGGAGGGAATTTTGCATATAATTCAATTAGGGTGAATAGACAAGGTAGTGACTGCAGTGGAAACAGGAAATCAGGAGCCATAAACAAGATGGCTTACGAGAGAGATTGTGAGTATGTGTGATTACCTCGACAGCCACTTTGGATGTATGGATTCCCTTCGAAACCATCTGAGCATTGGCAGTGGTAACCAACGTAGTCGTATTCAGCATTTACTGGTAAACACTTGCTATTCATACTCACACAAGCATATCCAGATCTATTCTGTTGGGCCTCTAAGCAACTTAGATTAGCGGCTGCCCATTTCACAGATAGCTCAAAATCAACAAAAAGATCGCTTACTGCATCAAATTGTAATTTAATGGTCCCTTTGTCAACATTCATGTCGATTACCTCAAGATCCTCCCGTAGTAGAACAGCCGATGACGTTCTATTTGTGCAGTTGAGGTGAAACTGTTCTCTCGCAAAGCAACCGTCTTCTAAGCCGAATGGGAATTGCACAGAGATGTTACCACACCAACGGGTACAATCAGTTCTGCTCGGAATAGGATTATACCCTAGTTTGATCAATAAAATGTTAGCATGTAATCATGTAGTGGAGTTTCGAACCTTAAAATACCTAGCAATAGTTGTGAGTTTGGGCAATTTGATCAGGAAAGCAAATTACCTTTGTCGTTGGAGCAGCCATCTAGAATGTAAGGGTTGCCTGTATAACCAATGTCGCAGATGCAGTTGTAGCCATTAGTAGATGCCATGCCTCCGTCGATGCATGTGGCATCTCCACTACATTCATAGGTTGCACTATCAATGCACTCGGTATGCCTGCTCATACAAGCATAGGTGGTCCAGTTTCGCATGGCGGCAACACAGGTTGGTTGATCCCTTATATTCCACCTGAGCGAAAAGCCATAATAACCATCAGTAGTTATGCTGATTCTATCCCACAACTGAGAGGTCTCCTTAGAGCTTGCTCCGGTGTTGCTTTTCCTGTGGAGGCGGACAAATTTGAAGTGAACGCCATCAGCGTCAAGAGTTAGCAGCTCAACACGGCAACATCCGAAGCCGTTACAGTTGTGCATAGCCACCATTTCTGTGATTCCTTGGTCAGGGCACACAGTTCTGCAAACCCACTTGGTTCTGAGTTTGTCATCATCGACCAAATACACATCAAGATCGCAACCAGTGATGTTCAGAATGGTGGAACTATCAATGGTGAAGGAACTCCCAGGCGGTTTAAAAGGCATGTGGTAGACACTGGCACCGGATTTCATAGGAATGGTACGAAAGAAGGAGGCCCTGATGAAGGTGTGAGGCCCATAGTAATTCCCATCAGTAAGAACATCGATGTTGTCAATAACCTCAGTGATGCCGTCGCGGAAGAAGTCTGGGGGAATCAACGGTGGTGTCGTTGCAAGTGAGGTCGAAATCAGGCCCACGGGAGCACCTGGATCCGATGCCGAAGGGGTAGTTGAAGCTCAGATTGCCACAGCTTGTAGGGCAGCCATCAAGGGTGGCGCCTGACGGCTGCACCCAGTTTTCTCCGGGGTTGTGGCTTGTTACAGCTCCAGATGCTAGCCCAATTAGCTTTGTCCCCAGCGACCCAAGTATCAACAGGGAGAGTGCTGCATACATCATCAGCAGGATGCCCACGATCTGCAGGCCTGGCACAGCTCTGAACTTCACTGGTGAAATTCAGGTCACAAGTAGATGGGAATTGAGTTTAAGGTTGTATGGCGGATCTATGTCTCGGGGAGGCCTTGCTACTGCATAATTATGACCACACTTGACCCGGCTAAGAAGATGCAACGGAGAGCGATGTGTACCCACAAATACGGGCACAGCCACAAGAAAAGTAGGCATCCAGGACTCCGGTGGATGTGACTGTTGTTGGCTCGATGCGAGCTGAAAGTGAGATGGCCACTGGATGCACAGCTACTTTTCTTGTGATTGTGACTGCCGGAGACCCAACGAGTCAGTCAACACATTCTGGCCCATCGAAGGCGGCCTTGAGTGAAAGTGAGATGGCCATTAGAATGCAAATCTACGTTTCTTGTGACTGTGACTTGCAGAGACCTGACTAGTCAGTCAACACATTCTGCCCCATCTCCATCTAAGGTGGCGTTGAGAAGTCTTTGCTAGCCAGATCGATGGGAACAAGCGAGAAGCAAAATTGCAGTACAAAGATGCCAGAGAAACTACACCAGAAGCTCACCAGCACACAGCAAACACGGCATCTCACTGACCAAAACAAAATTGCAGCCGGCTGCCAATATCAGCTTAATGGTAATTGAATCCCTAAATGAATACGGATAGCTGTCATATGCTTGGCCGCGACAGAGAGCATATTATAACGAAGTAAATTATTGTGGTCTCTGGAATGAAAATAGAGAAGCAGAATGAGTACCTGTAACATATATGCCCAATCCTTCGAAGGCCTCGACTGACATTGATTGGAGCAAGGAATATGAGGGTCTCATTTTCATGGGTAGGGGTCATCTTTGACAGTCTCGGCAGTGGCGGCATCTCCGGTGGGCGGCATGGTAGGGGCAAAGCCGCAAACACTACCGGTTTCACGGCCTATGCCGACGGGCCGTCGGCATAGGCTCTTTCCCGTCGGCGTAGATCTAAGCCGACGGCTACCGTTGGCATAGGCCCGTCGGCGTAGATTATGTCAGCATACTCTTGTCAGACCGTCGGCATAGATATGCCGGTCCTATGCCGACGGCGTCCGTACCGCCGTCGGCGTAGAATCAACGTCGGCGTAGTTTTGCACGGGACGGCCGTTGACGGCGCCAGCCGAACCACGGGCCGCCACGTGGCGCAGGTAAGCCGACGGCCAGGCAGCCGACGGCTAGCCGTCGGCTTACCTGCGCCACGTGGCGGCACCAGATCACCCATGGACAAAAAACTATGCCGACGGGGCCGTCGGCTTAGATGGACACGTGTCGACACCTGGGCGTCCACGGGTGAAGGACTATGCCGATGGCTTAAGCATCGGCATAGCTTGCCACCTGTCGGCTACTGGTTTCACCGTCAGCATATAGCCGTCGGCATAGTTCTGTTATTTTTTTTTGTATTCCTTGTTTTCTATTTTTCATTCAATTTGACAACATTTTAAAGACACAAAATATGAGTTTATGCATATATACTCAGATGCCAGATTGGTGGGAACAAGCGAAGAAGCAAAATTGCAGTAGAAAGATGCCAGAGAAACTACACCAGAAGCTCACCAGCACACAACAAACACGGCATCTCACTGACCAAAACAAAATTGCAGTCGGCTGCCAATATCAGCTTAATGGTAATTGAATCCCTAAATGAATACGGTTAGCTGTCATATGCTTGGCTGCGACAGAGAGCATATTATAACGAAGTAAATTATTGTGGTCTCTGGAATGAAAATAGAGAAGCAGAATGAGTACCTGTAACATATATGCCCAATCCTTCAAAGGCCTCCACTGACATTGATTGGAGCAAGGAATATGAGGGTCTCATTTTCATGGGTAGGGGTCATCTTTGACAGTCTCAGCAGTGGCGACATCTCCTGTGCGCGGCATGGTAGGGGCAAAGCCGCAAACACTACCAGTTCCACGGCCTATGCCGACGGGCCGTCGGCATAGGCTCTTTCCCGTCAGCGTAGATCTAAGCCGACGGCTGCCGTTGGCATAGGCCCGTCGGCGTAGATTACGTCAGCATACTCTTGTCAGACCGTCGGCATAGATATGCCGGTCCTATGCCGACGGCGTTCATACCGCCGTCAGCGTAGAGTCACCGTCGGCGTAGTTTTGCACGGGACGGCCGTTGACGGCGCCAGCCGAACCACGGGCCGCCACGTGGCGCAGGTAAGCCGACGGCCAGCCAGGTCGTCGGCTTACCTGCGCCACATGGCAGCACCAGATCGCCCCTGGACAAAAAACTATGCCGACGGGGCCGTCGGCTTAGATGGCCACGTGTCGACACTTGGGCGTCCACGGGTGAAGGACTATGCCGATGGCTTAAGCATCGGCATAGCTTGCCACCTGTCGGCTACTGGTTTCACCGTCAGCATATAGCCGTCGGCATAGTTCTGTTATTTTTTTTGTATTCCCTGTTTTCTATTTTTCATTCAATTTGACAACATTTTAAAGACACAAAATATGAGTTTATGCATATATACACAGATGCCAGATTGGTGGGAACAAGCGAAGAAGCAAAATTGCAGTACAAAGATGCCAGAGAAACTACACCAGAAGCTCACCAGCACACAATAAACACGGCATCTCACTGACCAAAACAAAATTGCTGTCGGCTGCCAATATCAGCTTAATGGTAATTGAATCCCTAAATGAATACGGTTAGCTGTCATATGCTTGGCTGCGACAGAGAGCATATTATAACGAAGTAAATTATTGTGGTCTCTGGAATGAAAATAGAGAAGCAGAATGAGTACGTGTAACATATATGCCCAATCCTTCAAAGGCCTCCACTGACATTGATTGGAGCAAGGAATATGAGGGTCTCATTTTCATGGGTAGGGGTCATCTTTGACAGTCTCGGCAGTGGCGGCATCTCCTGTGCGCGGCATGGTAGGGGCAAAGTCGCAAACACTACCAGTTCCACGGCCTATGCCGACGGGCCGTCGGCATAGGCTCTTTCCCGTCAGCGTAGATCTAAGCCGACGGCTGCCGTTGGCATAGGCCCGTCGGCGTAGATTACGTCAGCATACTCTTGTCAGACCGTCGGCATAGATATGCCGGTCCTATGCCGACGGTGTTCGTACCGCCGTCGGCGTAGAGTCACCGTCGGCGTAGTTTTGCACGGGACGGCCGTTGACGGCGCCAGCCGAACCACGGGCCGCCACATGGCGCAGGTAAGCCGACGGCCAGGCAGCCGACGGCCTGGCCGTCGGCTTACCTGCGCCACGTGGCGGCACCAGATCGCCCCTGGACAAAAAACTATGCCGACGGGGCCGTCGGCTTAGATGGCCACGTGTCGACACCTGGGCGTCCACGGGTGAAGGACTATGCCGATGGCTTAAGCATCGGCATAGCTTGCCACCTGTCGGCTACTGGTTTCACCGTCAGCATATAGCCGTCGGCATAGTTCTGTTATTTTTTTTGTATTCCCTGTTTTCTATTTTTCATTCAATTTGACAACATTTTAAAGACACAAAATATGAGATTATGCATATATACACAGAAATATGACAGATCATCATCTAAAGATACTCAAGATCATCATGATCATCTAAATATACTCAAGTTCATCATCTAAAGATCATCATCGTCGAAACTTCAAGAACATAAGTATTGCAAGACATGGAACATCATCATCGTCATCTAAAGAAACTAAGAAGTAGGGACATGATAAGTATGGCACGATGGCCACAGGCACGGGTATCATCTTCGACCTCAGGCCGCCCTCCACCCTCGTGGCCGCCTCGATTGCTTCTTAACTTGCACTCCAAGTCCTCTGGATCACGTTCGTTCCAAAAATCACGCTCCGGAGGTTTCATTCCGTTTGGACTCCGTTTGGTATTCATTTTCTTCAAAATACTGAAATAGGGAAAAGAAAAACAACAATACGGGTTGGGCCTCCGGTTAGTAGGTTAGTGCCAAAAATGATATAAAAGTGTAAAGTAAAGCCCATAAACATCGAAAACGGGTAATATAATAGCATGGAACAATTAAAAATTATAGATACGTTGGAGACGTATCAAGCATCCCCAAGCTTAATTCCTGCTCGTCCTCGAGTAGGTAAATGATAAAAACAGACTTTTTGATGTGGAATGCTACCTAGCATAATTCTCAATGTAATTTTCTTTATTGTGGCATGATTGTTCAGATCCAAATGATTCAATATAAAAGCTTATAAAACATAAAAATAATAATACTTCGAAGCATACTTACAAATAATCATGTCCTATCAAAATAGCATAGCCAAAGAAAGCTTATCCCTACAAAATCATATAGTTAGGCCATACTTCATTTTCATTACACAAAATACTCCCATCATTGTAACATCCCGATTTTCGGAATGTTTTAAGAAAAAGTTTACCAAAAATCAGGGCGTGAAAATTTCATTTGTTTTATTTGTTAACAAAGCTTAAATTGGACTTTTCTAATTAGGAGGATTTAATTTGATCTAATGCGAACTTATATTTAACATTGCGTTTTGTTCTTCCCTTTTAGTTGGGTTTTGTTTTTCTCGCTTTAGCATATTTAATTATGCACATTTGTTTTTTGGCACTTCTTTTGATTGTTGCTTGATCTTCTATTCCTTCTCTAGATTT